TCAGCTCAGATCCAGCATTGTTTATTATGCAATAATTGCCAAAAATATCATTTGACCCCTTTTGCCTACTTTGTATATTCCCCATCTTTTGTGTTACATGGGAAGGTAAGATTTGACTTGTCAGAATTCCCTTTATTTTTGTTTTAATATTAAGTAACTATTCTGAGTCTCAAGTGACAGGATTTTTTTTACCAAATTTTTTTCTCTGTGCCTGGGTCCTAAGACTGGAATAGATCCTCATTTTGCAGAGAAAAATGTCATAATTTTTTTTTTAAATTGAATCTGCCTGATCTAACTCCATGGGCCAAATTATTTGCATATACTGTCTGAAAATTTTACTAGAGTCTCCAAAAAATGTCATCCTCTCCACTTTGTAAATGAGAAATATGAAACTTTTTGAGCTTATTATATAATGGTTCAAAGTCATAGAAAAGTCAAATTCAAATCCAGGTCACTTTTAATGCCAAAATCTACTTTCTCCACCACTTTGTGTTAACTTGCAAATATTAGATCTCCCTATATTTGATTGGACAGGAAATGGAATTTTAAGTAATTTATTTAAAGTTATTATACTAAGGCAATCTAGTAGAATAAAAACAGTGATTTGTTGGGCAAGTAGATGTTAAATGGAGAATTACTGTGATGTAAGTAACATTGTCATATGTCATATCAGGAAAAAAATAAGTACTATAGAAAATTGACAAATCAAGAAACAATGAAATACACACATGGAAATATCGAACAGAAACTTAAAAATGGTAACTCTGGAGAAAGAAGACTGGAATTGCAAAAGGGATAGCTTTCATTATAAGCCCTTCGATACTTTGAGATTTTATTTATCATTTGATAAAATTTTAAAAGATCATAGAAAGAGGAAAAATATATGATTATGTGTTTTTGATAATTATACCTATCAAGATGCCTTAAATAATGGATTTTAAGAAAAAATGGGAATGTTTTCTCAGCCTCTGTCCATTATGTTACTAGTAATATGAAACTGAATGCAGTTTAAAAGGCATGAATTTATCACCTATTAAGTTCAAGGCCTTGTTCTAAGTTTTATAGGAGAAGAAAGATGGACGCAGTCTGGCTGCAATGTACTACAGTCTAATTGAAGGTGCTAATAGTGAGGGAAAATATAGATGGGAGGAAAGAGGCTCTCGCATTTCTCTGTCTCCTGCATACTGTGCTATGTTCTTTACCTACCTTATTTTTTATGGAAAACATAGATCATAGAAAAAAAACAAAATATAAGTAGCTATGTGGGCTCAGTGGATGGAAAAAAAATTGCATTTACTTATCAGGATCAAGAAATACTTCCTGAAGCAGAGGATTTGAAGTGGGCCTTAAAAGTAGAAAGAGATTTCTATAGACAGAAAGGAGATGGGAGTGTCATTGACATATTGCTAGTCGATAAACTCAGGTTTGGAGTATTTTTTCCCCCTCTCATATATAAGCACTTAGCTAAACTCCAAGCTAGATACAAAACTAATATGAATTTTTAAAATAGTGTTTGTCTGGTTGAAGACTTTTAATTAAATGTAAATGCCACTATCAAAGTGACTTTTAGTGAAACTATTTTCAACTTTTCTCCTCTTCAGAATCACTCTGAAGAATTGAATATAACCACTATTGTCCATCAAGTATGAGAAAAGCTGCAGCCAAACTTGGAGGTCATATGGATTTTGTAGAAATTTTTGTTTTTTGAAAAATTATTTAGTATGCTCTTTACATCTTTGAGGATTCTTTCTAGCTTCCCTCTTTAATGTAAATTTTGTTTAGTTTCCCAGATATTGCATGTAGTTCCATGTGAACTATTGGGGCCCAATGGTGTGATAATTTAAAAGAGTCTTCAGTTTGAAACCATGACCTCTTCACCATCTTGAATAATGCTTCATAGCTTTGTGTTCTGACCCAAAGTCTTAAATGTCTGTGCCTATGGGGAAGAACTGAGTTTCTCAACTTTTTAGATATCTTATCAAAACTATATGAATAACAATAAATGTCAGAAGAGCCAAGTAGACATATAACGTTTTATACTGAAGTCACCAAGTCTCTTCCACTTGGGCAGTGTGTGCTAAAGGTGGAGATTATTGTCTTTAAGGATTCCTTTGAAAATGTCCTTTACACTGATCACTCTCTCATTAGGAAAGTCTTGTGTTGCAGCACCCCCTACTTTATCATGCTAGACTTTAATGAATGACTTACTGTCAAAAGTTCCAGATTGTCATACTTTATGACAGTGTATTCTATATTTCTTCTAAAGCAGAGGAAGAAAGATACTTTAGGGGTTCCAACTATAATTGTAATGTTTACCATGAAGAGAATGCTACATCCTGCAATTTAGGAGCTATTTATATATTTTATGAATTGTATTAATTTAGAAAATCTTTTATGTTAAGTTGTATAATTAATACCTATAATCTTAGTTTTAAGTCTTGAATTCTGAATTCTAAATAATTATTCATTTTCCCTGTTCCAGTCTGAGTTTTTTAATGTCTTTAAAATTATGTTTCCTACTTATTTTGAAAAACATAGAAAAGATAGAGAATAAGGCCAAACCTACACATAATTTCACAACTGATAGATGTAGCCGTTTGAAGATTTTTCTTCTTCTCCTTTTTTCTAGTCATATAAATAGATATTCTTCTTCATATACTTAGAAATGTCTGTTTATATCTATATTCTTCATTTCTTTATATTTCCTCCCTCATTTTTATATCATTAAATTTTCTTTAGAGACAGAATTTAATGACCTACAGGCTTTCTTTCTGTTGCTTCTTTTCTTTTTATATGTCTATATTGTGCTCTGACTTTAAAAAGTTATTAAAACTGTGGAATTTTAGTTATTAAAAACTGTTACTATTTAGTAGTCATAACTACTTCTCCATGAATTTATGAACTCTTGACTAGGACAAACAAAGTTGGTCTCTATTTATTAGTCTATTAGGAAGTCCTTAATTTTTAGGTTATATATTAGCTTTTGTCTTTATCTGAAGCATTAGAACATGGGTTATTATATTGGCTTCTGTTGGATTTATTTAGTAATTCCGTTTCTTATTTATAATAGTGTGCATCTGTGACTGCTTGATTGTGGGTGGTACTGAGGATTAACTAAGAGCAGGAAGGTGCTGCATCTTTATACTTCAGTGTCTATGGAATTTGGACAAATTATTCTACTTCACTGAACCTCGTTTTTAAGATTAAAGACTAAATGAGGTATTCAAGTGCGTAGTAGAGAGTGTGGTAGATGGGCAGTCTTGATATTCTTGTTACTTTGTTGTTGTTATTGTCATTGTGAGTTCTTTGGCTATTGAGCAAAATAAAGGTGACTKAGAAGAGATTGAAAACCTTGCAATTCCTCTACCCATTTGAAGTAGCAAACCATGGAGGAAAAAAAAAAAAGACAAAAATTCTACTCTAATTGTAGACCCGCAGACTGGCATCTTTGTCTGTCCCACAGGTAAACTTCAGACTTTACATTAAACACTTTATGTATGAATTTGAAAAGTTCGCTTGTGTTTTCGAAATGCTAAATTGCTGTTCCTGATAATCCTGATATGTGTCCCAGCGTCCCAAGGAACTGACTTATGGCTTCTTCTTGATTTTTCAATAGCTAGATATTCTCTATATACATGCCAGTGTTGCCTTAGTAMGTTATTGTGATAATCGTACTAACTTCCATTCACTGTCAACTGTGTGACAACCAGGAGCTTTTTGAACATTATTTCTTTTAATCCTCATGGCTATTCTGTGAGACTGTAAATTATCTTTCCTGTTTTCTAGTTGAGGAAACTAAGATTTAGAGAGGTTCAGCATTACCTAATTAGAACCTGGATGCTGGTCTCTCTGACTTCAGATATGAGACTGTAGCTTCACTTGGAGCTCTGTTGCATCAGTTTCACGGCACTGCAGAGCCTCATTCATTCATCCATCCTTCATTTGTCCAGGGCCTACTTTGTGCCGGGCACTGTTCAAAGTGGTAGGATTACAGTATGCATAACTCCCACCTTCCTAAATCTTGCCTTCTATTTTAATAAGTCACCTGTGGGCATTTCCCTCCTAGAATGAACATCCCTATAAGGCAGACATTCTTGAGTCTTAGGAAAATAATCAAAATTTTGTGTAAGACTAAATATACTTGTTGAGTTTATGATAGGATTATTTCTACAAAAATAATTTWAAAAAATTAAAACTGAAAACTAGGGCATGCCCCATTTTATTCATCATATCTTTTTTATTTTAGCACTGCCTTTTAACCTCAGACTCTTCCCTTTGGTGATGTATTTACTAATTAAGAAGCAGTCAGAGGGTGCATTATTGCTAATGATAATGCTACTTTTTGGTATCTTGGTTACTTTGACTTCCTTGAATGTTCCATAGGTATGTGAGGCAGAATAAAAATCTTTCTTTAGAACATGCCAAAATCATCACACAGATCTAGTGCAAGAGGTTTAATTGTTTCATGGAATAAATAAAAGGATTCTGGCCTAGTTTGAAAATAAATGATGCAAAAGAAGTCCAAGTGTGAGGGGGGAAATAATACTTGTTTTATGTGATATCAAGAATATTGACCCTTTCCTTAAGAATGTATTAGTTCAATTTTGAAGGAAATAGTATTATAAAGTGTTTGTGTTGACATTTTTCATTCATGCGGAATCTGAAAATATTTTTAAACACCCTTGAGTGGAGGCTAATTTATTAGATTTTTCAGCTATAAATAAAATTAACCATATACTACACAGCATGTTGCATTGTAATAAAGTTTGCTGTATTTTTGCATTAGAAATGCAAGTGAATATTTTTGGTCCCAGAAAGAGCAAATGGATTGTGTATGTTCTTCATTTTTTTTTTTTTTAAGTCATGTGTCCAAGATGGAGGATCATTGGCAAACCAGCTAGCTGTTCATCTTGGATTTTGATATTGCTTCTCCTTGGGACCCTAGTGCTGGGCTCTGTGATAACCAGTGCAAACTCCATGAATATCTTTCATTTCTCTAGAAGGAGGTGTGGATTTGCAAGGCTGCCAGCTGGATATGCAAATACTACCTGACGGCCCAAAGAGTGATGTGGACTTTTCAGAGATTCTTAATGCAATACAAGAAAGTAAGTTTCACTCAAATTTTAAATTCACCAGGAGAGGAGAAACTATTGTAATACTTGGGAGGGGGTAACAAAACCAGGAACCTCAGATGCCATCCTTTTAAAAAAACAATATAATTGGGCTGGGGTTGTGGCTCAGTTGTAGAGTGCTTCCCTAGCACGTGTGAGGCACTGGGTTCGATTCTCAGCACCACATATAAATAAACAAAATAAAGGTCCATTGACAAAAAAATTTAAAACAAAAGACAAACAAAAAACCAATATAATGATGTCTTAAAAGAGATACTATGCATAATAATTTCGTGGCCAGAAGAGATGGTTAGTGAAATGAAGGTTGAATTTGTAAAATAGAACCACCTCATTTTAGGGTCTTTGAAGAAGCCAATAGTGGAATTATAAGTTCTCTATATTTAGTGTGTTATAATATTTAGTAAGCCTTCAAGTATTATAATTTTTTAGATTCCTTGATTAATTACCATCAAGGAAAAACTATTAAGAAACAAAAATACCATTTCTCTGTTCAAATGCAAGAAGCAAGGATTAAATGTCAAAGCAGTAAACTGAAATCAGGAACTTACCCTCTGACACAAATATCTGGTGAAGTTAATGACAGACAGGCTGTTTCTCAAAAGGGAACCTGTCATTTCTGAGCATTTTGATTAATCAAGGTTAGCTCTTCTTATACCATGTTATTTGTGTTTTATAATTTTCACTCAGAATGTCATAAGAACTGGTATATTTATCCCTGTTACAGATTTAGCATTGAGGGAGTCATTACTACTCATGTTTCATTAACCAGAGTTCTAATTCTAGATGATGATATTCCTCAAATAATATTTCATAGTATGATATAATGTTGGATTTGAGGGGTTTGTGATGCTGGAAATCACATCCAGAGACTTGTGCATGCTTAGGCAAGAGTTCTACCATGGAACTACCTCCTCAGCTCCGTATTTATTTTCTTATGAATGATTTTCATCATTTTACAGATAATTACCATTCAGCTATATTACATTCTTGACTTTATAAGATAATTAATATCTCCATCTTACAGGTGGGACAACTGAGGGTGGGAGAAATTAAGTATCAAAATAACTGGTTAAATATTGGAGACCAGGCTAGAATGGAGGGGGCCCTGTTTGCCATTTAACCCCTTTTGTGAATGTGCTCAGTTCAGGATGTGATCACACTGAGGTGAGATACTAAAATTGAAGACAAGGCTACTTCTGAAGGAAATTTTTTGTGTGAGTAATATAAGGGGACCAGTTTTTTGTTCTGGCTGGGAAATCCCTTCAAATTGGATTAGTGAATAAGATAAATATTTTTCCCGAGAGAAACAAAGTCAAATTAATAGACATTGGAAAAAAAAAACTTTTCATAGAAAGTTATACAATAATGTAATTATTTCATTTAATTTGAAGGAGATAGATTATGCAGGGCTAAAAGGATTTAAAGTTTTTCAATAAAAGATAAAAGTTGGCTTCTATGAAAGTGTTAGAGATGAATTTAAAAAAATGTTTTGGGGGCTAACTCAACTCATGTCAAAATAAACTAAAGATTTAAAAGGTATGATTTTTAATTTTTATTTATTTTTATAGTTATCCATAATAATGGGGCCCATATTGATATATTTATAAATGCATATAACAYCATTTCTTCTTTTCAATCCCCAGTTCTTTGCCTTATCCCTTTCCTCCTCCCCTGATCCCTACTGGCTTTCCATCTATTTACTTATTGTTTTTCATTGGTACACTACAATTATAAATGRAAGTGGAATTCTCTGTGATATATTCATACATACATGCACAGAGCATAATTTGGTGAGTTTCATTCCGCAGTTCCTCCTTTTTCTCCCTCTTCTACCCTCCTGCTGGACCCCTTTCCTCTTCTTCACTGTTCTCCCCTCTCTCATGGATCCATGAGATCCAATAAGGGACTTTTTTTTTTTTTTTTTTTACAATAGATCATAGTAGAGACACATTCGTAKGACATGTAAACTCTTCTATAGTTTTAAATGGTGACCTCTTTATGAACAGATAAAGGAATACAAATTTATGAACACTTTACACTTCAAAATTAAAAAATGGAAATTTTACTTCAATTTAAAATACAAATGAAAATCTTTATAGGCACATACATTTTATAACCTCAGAACTAATCTATTTACTCTCTTGTTCAGAAAAACAAAAACTAGTTTCACGATAAGTAGAAGATTTGGGAAGCTGCCTGTACAGGCTGGGTCATTTCCAACAGGAAGGATTTGGACCATTCATCTGCATTCAGGCTCTACCTAGGTTCCCAATATGATTGATATGTWTAGCCAATTCATTGTAATGTCTAAGGATAAAAATGCAGAGCTTGGTTCTTTAAGGGGCCATATCTTAGATGATGGTTTCTAGGAAGCTTTGAGAGACCAGAATGTAATGCTGTAAAGAATGTAGCATTCTGCACTGCTGTCGTGTTATTTAAATAATAATAAATAAATAAATAAAATAAAAATAAAAGACAGAAAAAAAACGAAAAAAATGTAGAATTCTGAATACCAGTATGTCTCCTCCTCTTCATACATTTTTATTGAGAGTAGTAGGACAACAGAAAGATTTCACTGTTTTCTTAGAATTTTGTAGTGATATGTGTGTGTGTACATATATATATACATATATATATGAGTGTGTGTATATATGTCTATGTATATTACCTCAAGTGCTAGAAGTGGTGGGGGGGGTGGGAAGTGGGGAGCCCTAGACAATAATAGATGATATTTTCTTCATTTTGAAGCTGATAAAACTTTAAGTATAGCTTCCCAAGCTGTATGGTTAATTATGCAATGGAGTCAATATTTAATTGTGTGTCGTTCCTTGTTCTGCTAAATACAAAATTAAATAAAAATGACTAGGAAAAAGAAACTACTTTGTGTTTTAAACATTTTATTCTTAAGGTTTCACATTTTGATGCAAAAGTTTTCCCTCCTTTGCTTCTACATTGTAAAATGGATTTATATTATTTTTCCCATAGTGTGTGTACCCTAAGTATAGCATCATTTGTACTAAAGATGTCTCATTGGCCATACTCAAATTGCTTTTCTGATCTTCCTTATTAGATGTACATCTAATAATAAAGAAAAGAATTCTTTTTTCCTTCCATTCATCCGTCTCACCTGTTATGTGTCAGACACTACACTAAGCATAATACTTAAAGACAGTGGTGAACATTTTGGTACCAAGTCYAATTCAGGAAAAAATAAAAATATTTACAGATCATATCTTATTGCATGGTTCAGAATGAAAACAACTTGCCTGCTTTCTAGATAATAAGGAGATATTTATTTGTGTGTGTGTGTATGTGTTTTCCCCTTGGTATGATTTTTTCCTTCCCTCTCTATTTTCACCCTTCACTCCCCATCCCAAGATGGCAGACTAGTCCTTTGAACTCCTTTGTTTCAGCAGAGTTTTATAATGTTTAAAGCTCCTGGCTTTTGCTTTCTGAAAGCCTGAGCTTCCACGAGGCTCACACTTAAATAAGAGAAGTAGAAACAGGCAGGAGGGAATTTCTGAGACAAGCTTTCTTGGACTGTGCTGCAGAAATTGCGTGGCTTCCAGTGGGTGGATGGAAGGGGAGGGAATGGCTGTGTTGTGCCTGGGAGACAGCTCCAGGGTCACCTGAATTGCCAGCTGCAGCAGAATTCTTTCCCAGGGAGGGATGTTGCAGGCTCTGGGAAGGTGGCAATCTCACCTTCCCCAGAGCCTTGAACAGGGCATAGAATATCACAGGTGCTAAGTAAATATATGTAATGAATGAGTGAATGAATACATTGCACTGTGGACTTGGACTAGTCAGTTCAGAGGAATTTTTGAGCAGTCTCTCTAAATGTTCAGGTCTTTACCCACACTCCTGGSACCTTTACACCATCCCGGATACATGAGACAGGAGAATGGAAATGTCACCAATGACTGGCTTGTGCACCAAGGCAGTGAAATGTGAACTTAGAGACAGGTTTAATWTGATGTGATGATAACAAAGTCACAGGTCAAATTCTTAACTCTAGAGTTTGTCTAGTAAGATTCAGACCTCCCACATATAGTTTTAAGATTTGAGTATCTACTTTGTTCTGCAAATAACATCAATTAAAGCCAGAATACCCCCCTGCTTTTTAACTACCAAAGTTTCAAAATCTGAACATTTTTAAGAGGTACACATTTTTAGATATTTCCTTCTGAAATTAGGTTGAGCATCTTGTCTTTAAAAGCACAGCAGTCCATCAATCAGGCATGGGCGTATATCTGGATAAGCTAACCACGGTGAGGCATGTCATTCAAAGATTATACTGGACATGGTAATTCTTGCTTTAAATCATTGTCCCATCCTTTGTCTCTTGCTCCTCTTATTGTCTTCTTAGTTTTTCTCTTCTTGATTCTAAGCAGATACAGAGATAGACCATAATGATTCTTGAGTAGCATTCATCCTCTAAAAGACAGRACTGTGCTGTATTCCACTGGGTTCTAATAAAGGAAATAGGGAAAACCATGTATTTTCAAAATGAGCAGCTCGAGAGTTGGAAGGCCTGGATTTCCGTTTTTGAGGCTTGACCCCTTGTGCCTGCACAAGCCCCTACAGAGTCATGTGGCTGCTCCTGCATTGCTGTGGTTTGTGCTTCTGTGGCTGGGGAAACTGAGTCATGTCTCAGCAATATCAAGTGAGTCATTCTGGATCCAGTGTTTTGCAGCTTTATCTCCAACTTTGTTTTCAACCTGTGTGTCATGCTGCTTCAGAGAGAAAGATGGCAAGAGTGGGGGAACTGGCATCTAGTAAGCCTCTCTGGCAACTCTGTGGTTGACCTTTTACCTATCTCATTTTATTTAATATTAAATCAGCCTTACCGTACTTTCCACATCTGTAAAATGGAAATAAGGATAATAAATCTACATAAAATCCTTACATTGTGCTTGGAGCATGGTAAGCACTCTAAGTGCTGATGGTCACCTTTGCCTTTATTCCTCACAACA